CAAACAAAAGATCGCATTTGCGATAACAGGCTCAAAAGGGGTGTATCGCATTTGCGAGGAATGGTTGTCCTATGCTATTTCGCATTTGCGACTCAGCCTTCGCATTTGCAAACTCGCATTTGCGAGCCAAGCTTCGCAAATGCGAAGCCTGCAGACCTGCAATGCCACAGCTGAAGTCTGCAACTTTTCAAGTCCAAAATCCACCCGTGGCCTATCCAAAACTCATTCGAGCCCTCGGGGCTCCAAACCAAACATGCACACCCACCTAAAAACATCATACGGACTCGCTCGTGCATTTAAATCACTAAAATAACATCAACAACTATGAATTTAGCATCAAAATCATGAAATTTCTTAATAACTTCAAATTTTTCAATTTTCTCAAAAACGATCCGATTCATGTCGTTTCAAGTCCGTTTCTTACCAAATTTCACAGACTTATCTTAAATCACATATAAGACCTGTACCGGGCTCCGGAACCAAAATACGGGCCCGATACCATCAAGTTTTAAACATATTGCATTTTCAAAAACTCATAAATATTCCAGAAAATAATTTTCTTTAAAAATTCATTTCTCGGGCTTGGGACCTCGGAATTCGATTCCGAGTATACGCCCAAGTCCCATATTTTTCTACGGACCCTCTGGGACTGTCAAATTACGGGTCCGAGTTCGTTTACCTAAAATGCTGACTGAAGTCAACTTAATTCATTTTAAAGCCAAAGTTCATCATTTTGTTTTCACATATTTCACATATTGGTTTTCCGGCTACGCGTCCGGACTGTGCACGTAAATTGAGGTGAGACAGAAACAGGTTTTTAAGGGTTCGGAATGCAGAATTTACTTTTAAAACAAGTGATGACCTTTTGGGTCATCACATTACTGTTCTTGATCCATCTCGAGGTCACTGGGCTCGAGGTTGATACTGCTTAAGTAACACTGGTTTGATTCACTTATTTCTTTCATTTATACTTTATACTTCTTGATTATTAATTAATATTGAACTAAATCACATATCATTAAAACCACAAATCAAATTTAATTGCTACTCGTATTTTCGAGATAAACACCTATCTTTGGCCAATCAATAAATTATTTGTTAGTGTGTTTCAAAACACATCATTTCAAAGTTAAATTAGTATTGTGTTGTACTGATGGATGATTTGCCGCATGTAAATTCTGTAATCGTCATAGTTCTCTATGTTGGTGCTCACCTACATGCTTGCTTCACATCTAGTGTGGATATGTTGCTCTTTCTTCTAAATTTTGCAGCTCACTAGAATTCGTCACTAAGTAGCAACGCAGACAATAAAGATTCAATCGAATCTTTCTTTCTAATCAATGGAGCATCATAGCGATGGAAGAGTTATGGCCAACTCCAACCTGTATATACAAAATTAATAATTACAGGGTAAATTTCACAAATGGTCATATAACTATGACATTTTTTCACTAAAGTCATATAGCTTTTTCTTACATAAAAGTCATAAAACTTTCACTACTTTACTCAAAAAGTCATAGTTAGCCGGCAAAGACAATTCTCCGGTAATTTTTTGGTATTCTACCTTTTTTTATTTTTTAAATTCAATCTAATAAATAAAAATCATAAAATTTAGAAGTATATTTACGACTAGGTTTAGAAGTATATTTCGTTATTCATAAAATTTAATTCGTAAATACTTCAGTAAGAACTTCACTGATAATTTATATTTTTAGCTAGAAAATTTGATTCAATAAAATTTTTAGCTAGAAAATTTGATTCAATAAAAGTGTTTCTATCATATTTTTCGAACAAATAATATTTATTATTAGGTTTAAAAATAATAGTAGTTATTTATTTGCAATAAGGATTCTCAAGCGTTTGTGTCACGACCCCAACCCCGGTCGTGATGGCGTCCAACACACTGCTAGGCAAGCCTGACCAATTAACAACCTTAACCCATTTCTTATACATTTCATCTTCATCTAACACAGTTAAATTACCAAATCACCATATTAAAAGTCTGAAACAAGAATTAAATATGCGGAATTTCAAATAATAATACTGCTATATGGCCCATATAGATCCGGTGTCACAAGTCTGAGCCTCTAATACAAGTTTAATAGCCTAATACATATCAATCTAGGAAATGCGGATAAAATAAGAGGATATAAGGGAGAGATCAGGGCTGCGGACCACATGCAACTACCTCGATGCTCCCGGATATGCGCTGCTCAACTGAAATTCCTCACTCAGCCTCAAATGCAACTGGATCTGCACGCAAGGTGCAGGGAGTAATGTGAGTATTCCGACCGAGTGAGTAATAAACATAAATAATGACTGAGGATAAGAATTCATGGAGAAACACAGAGTAATCTATAATGCGACAGTTTAAAACAAGTAGTATGAAAGCGATAAACCAATGAAATCGAAATATGGATATGCTACAACAGATAAACAGATAAGTGACAGACATATAAAGAAAATCAACACATAGAACGGTACCCTATAGTACCCGCTGCGGCGTGCAGCCCGATCCATTTATTTATCGTCGACGACGCTCACTGGGGGTGTGCAGACTCCGGGAGGGGCCCCTTACGACCCAAGCGCATTATCAAGCCATCTCGTGGCATCAACTAAGCCCTCGGCCTCATATCAATATCAATATAATACTGCTGTGGTGCGCAGCCCGATCCCATAGTATCCTCACATCTGGCCCTTGGCCATGCTCAGTCCAGAAATCATATAAGCCTCTCTAGCATTTAGTAAAACATGAGTTCTCAGCCCAAAACATCATTTAACATGTAATTTTAGTTTCAAAAACCGAGTAAACGTGGCTGAGTTGTAAAACAGTAGAAAACAGTACGACTGAGTTCAAGTAGTAAATCGAAATAGTGAGAAAATAGTGATAAAAGCTCCCCGAAGGGTTCAAATAGTTGGCACGAACCCAAATATGACAATCAGTCCAACAATGATGATAACAATAAGCTTCAATCAAATACGCGGTAAAAACATCACTCGGGACGGACCAAGTCACAATCCCCAATAGTATACAACCTATTTTAGCTTTTGAAGTCACTTAACATTTTGTCTATAAATCTTTTATTTTTTAAACTAAGTAAAAATTCCAAATATAATTTAATTGAGAAAAATCTTAATTACGTAAATCCTTTTCTTATTGGAATTGTGTAAATTACAATAAAATGATCCTTGTTATTCACTCTCGAATTACCAAAGAGAGTTTTTTTTCCTTCCACCACCTAGAACCTACATTGCTACTTTTATAATTTTCAGCTTATGTTTTTCTCCGAAGTAATATAAGTTGTACCTTAAATTCATTTAGTATTTCTCATATAACAAGTTTCTAAAAGATTATTTATTTATATCGTTACAAATTTAAGTTTAATATATTGACGGAAATAAATTAAAGATTTTTATATGGAAGTTTCTTCCTTCATTGAGTTAAATAAATAAAATTAACAATGATAAATTTTAGAAATTTATACTTTTTACTTTTACGTACTTCTATTTATGAGTCTCATACAATTTTTAATGTAATAATTATAAGATCTATAAAGAAAATTTACTTATTCAGACGAGGTACACGCGTAAAGCACGCTAAATAGCGTGTATATATAATATTTATACTTTGAGTAATATTTTTTACACCAAAATCATCGTCTATAAGATACATGTGCAACTATATGCTGCATTTATCTCGATGTTAATTGCTATTACAAATAATTTATTTTTATTCTAAATTTTATATAATCTTTATTAATAGACACAAAATACACGTGCAACGCACGTACACTAAAACTAGTTTATAATTAAATATCTAACTGTAAACCTAGTTATTATTGCATGTAAATTTAAAATTATGGTAGGAACTCATAAGTAGGGGTGTTCATAAAAATTCGAAAATCCGAACCAAACCAAAAACCAAACCAAACTGACAAAAAAAAAACGATACATTTTGGTTTGATTTGGTTTTGGTTTTAAAATTTAAAAACCGATCAAATTTGGTTTGGTTTTGGTTTTAATTAAAAAAAAACGAACCAAACCGAATATAGGAGTAGCTATTTTAAATTTATTATTACACCTATATATACGTATATTTTTATACAAAGTTTTAAAAATTTCATAGTAAATATTAATCGTTTGCACTTTTAGTACTGTTCTTTACCTTTACATTCTAGTTTAATTGGTAGTTTTCTTTTGTTAGGTGTAAGAATCTATTTCATGTTAAAAATAATATATTTTTAATTGAGTCCTTAAATTATTCATCACTATTTGATTCAATTATCATCAATATATCTTGGTAAATAATATATTTCTCAAAGGGCAATTGATTTGATAATGTTACGTTGAAAATGTGGTCGCCGAAATGTGTGTTTAGTAGTGTATGTCTTATATTTAAAAAAAACCCGACAAATAACCGAAAAAATCGAAAAACGACATAGACCGAATCGAGAAAAAACCGACATAATTGGTTTGGTTTGGTTCTAATATTTGAAAAACCGACTTACTTGGTTTGGTTTCTTTTTAGGGAAAAACCGATCCAAACCGAACCATGAACGCTCCTACTCATAAGAATCAAATCCCGGATCCACCTCTGAATAGAGTGTATGCCTTTGCTATAGGAGGTAAAATTTCCTATTTCAATTGAGTCATAATTTATTAAATTGAATTTTAAAAATAAAAAAATTTGGTAAAATACGAAAAAATTACCGAAGAATTGTCTTTGCCAGTTAACTATGACTTTTTTGAGTAAAATAGTGAATGTTTTATGACTTTTGTGTGAGAAAACAAAGTTATATGACTTTAGTGAAAAAATATCATAGTTCCCATAATTACACGGAGGAGGACATAAACCTTAGCCTCGATTACATTGTGTAAAATGGTGCAAACCAATCTAGGGCATAGTTGATTACAAGAAATTGAGCTCAAATTGGAGGACTCGTCCCAAAGTCTTGGGGTATACATAGTACTAGAGATAGACAATACATATACTATAGACTTTTGCAAATTATCCCAATAATATTCAAGTGCTGGCATCATTAATAACAGACACCACATGACATCTAGAGAAAATTACATATGTTGTGCATAGCTGCATTTACTTTCATGAATTTATTCAAACAATAAGAAAGAGAAATAAAAACCAGATTTTCGATCAAAGATAAGACAAACTAAACAGGACTAGTCTCTTCTCCTTCCCCCTTTTCAGGAGAGCCAGAGTGCATTTTTTTAAACAACTGGTTACACTATGTCAGCTTTCAGAAATATCCTTGTAACTCGATATTTAATTGATAAATAGCCATTGATACAATTGCGCCCCATACAGTGGTCATGCATCAACCTTCTTGATATATGCTGAATGTCTATCAACAACAAGCTCGACCAATGGACACTCAACCTCAGCCCCAGCCTGAGTGCTGTCCCTGCGAACTGTGACCTTTTCCTGCTCTGTCACAACTATAACTTCCTCTTTACGGGTTGAAAGTTCGTTTGCTATCACCATATGCATCTTGTATTTTTTGAGGGCCATATCAGCCTTTGCTAAAAGGATATCTTTATCTGTTTCTAGCTGCCAAATAGTAGATGTGAAAATTAGTAACGAAATGATATGAACAACTTCCTAACAAAATTAAAACAACAAATGGATTCGATGACAAAAACTGTCGAGACTAACTGCAGAAAGAGGCCTATCTCATCCAAAGAATGACAAGCATATTAGGTGCCTCAAGGACAAATAAACGAACTTCTGACATCTTATTTCTGTAAACTGATTAACCTTATATTTTTCCAAACATATGTACAGATATTTACTAACTCAATGGGGTAAGTAGGGGCGCATCCAGCCCTTTGGTACCGAGTTTATCTTACTTTCAGCGCGGAACATAAATTTATGTGTAAAGGTTCACTAAAATTGCAACAAATAGTATATATGAACTCATAACTTTAAAAGTATAATGGGTTCAAAGCAAAAAACTTTAAAAGTTGAACGCATAGAGTTTAAATCTTGTATCCGCCTCTGGGGTCCTTCCAAAAGCATAAGCATTTGCAAAACAAGATTAGGCTAGCAACTTTACAGCATTCTATATAGATGTGAGCAAATCATGCCCNGTTCAGTTATGCGACACAAATAGATTTGAAACACATTGAGGAGGTACTCTGAACTAACTCTACATTTTATATTGTATAATGGTACAAATATTTTTAAATATTAGACTCCATAAGTACAGCTGGTTTGACAGAAAAAAGTTTACATTATATACCGAAATATAAATTCTTTAACGAGTTCCAACTGTTGTAACTTGTGAAAGATCTAAAATATTAAACTTGAAAAAGTGAGTCAAACATTTAAAAACAGCTCAAAAGCAGATTTCTGTAGTTGCAAAACTAAGATACAGGGAACTTGACTTCGATCTTGGAAGTTCCATGAAGTGGATCATTTCAGGTGTCTTTTGAGTTCATCTTGACAAGTGAATTTAAATAGCAAAATACGTACACATATATAATACAAAATTGGCACAACACACGCCATACATATACACACTCACATATAAAAGATGTTAGAAATTCAGGATTCCTGTCAAGTCATCACTTCTTCATAAGTAGTGCCTTTTTTTTTTCTTTTCAAAAGACAAAGCACAGCATTGTTAAAGTTCATAATTTTACCAAACCATACAAGATGATCACCTACCTTGAAAGATATGTAGAAGGCCATCGGTGCCCACTCATTCCTAAGCACTGAAAGCATCTTTGGTACTTGGGCGAGTCGCATGTCCAGAGGACCAGATGCTGACTGGATCTTATGTAAAGCCTGTGAAAAAGAGCTAACATGTAAAAAAGATAGCAGCACATTTAGAGGAAATAGATCTAGTACCATTTTCTCCTTTATAAGTCGATTCAAACATGTCATATAACTACCATTTGCAATATATATATATAGAGAGAGGGGGGGGGGGGGTGGGGGCAATGGGACGCAAGAAAGAAGGACAAGTAAAATTCACAAAGCACTAAATCCATCCATTCCCAACGCAAATACAACCAAAGCAAATGCAAAATAGGAGAAGCTATATTCAAGAACATAAATGTTTACCATGCTTTCCCATGGAACATAAAAATCAGAAACGGCAGCTGCAAGATAGAAAATAGCACTAGGCCCAAGGCCCCTCAATGATGCAGAAATTAGCTGAAGAATCTGCCAGTAACAAACATAACATTAATAAAAGTGCTACTGGCCTCCGCAGAGCATGCTAAAGAAGTTCATATGAAGCTTATTTGAAGTTGAAGTTTAGACAATTCACATTGATTTTACAGTGAAACAGATTTCACTGATATATTAAAAGAAACCTGCAAATACTCGAAAATTGTCGTAAATGGAAGTTTCAACAGGATGCCATCAGCAACTGCCTGCAATTATTAAATTCTTACAGTGTCTGTTCAAAATGAATAAAGATAGTATTTAGATCAAACAAATAGGAAGAAAATGATCAATAAGTAATAATTCATACAGCACGAGTTTCAGTAATGGCTTTCTTCACTGTTTCGGCATGCAATGGATCCACTGAAAACCAGTGCAACAGAAATATGGTCATTAGACTGAAAAGTGTAAACTGGTCGACAAAATCAATTGGGATTCAAAATACTCAGAACAATGGTGGTAAGATCTCTCCCAGTAAACTTAACAGCATTGAGAAATAGGAAAAGGAAGATCAAGCTAGTCAATAATTAGATTGCAAACTCCACCAGGTGAAAAATATACATTAATAAGGGGACATGGAGCATATTTCATTCCCAACTGAGGATCTCCTTCTTTTTGCTTTTCCTTTATCTTATGATTCTCATAAGCTAACAGAGGATCCATAGTCAACACCAATAAGTTAAGATTGCGGGTTATCATTCATTTCACTTACACTAGTTCTGGTGTTTGCAGAAATCATTTTAGCAAAGCTAAGACTTGTATGTGTAGGGATAGGTGTGAGATTACGAGAATCTCTACCTTTAGAGATCTTTTAATTGCCTTAAAGGACGAATTATTTATTAATATTGGAACGAAAGGCAGTAATAAGGTGGAATAGATATAGAGCATTTATATAGTCGACCCAATTAGTTTGGGATTGAGGCGTAATGAGCTAACTTCTGACTTTCTTTACAATATGATTCCCTCCATCTATTTCATTATGATTCACCTGCACCTCTATATAGTGAAGTATGACGAGCTGTTGAGCATTTGACTATTATTTATGTGGACCTACGAAGTTTACAGGGAATTCCTTGTGAACATGCTATTAAAAGGCAGAAAATATGAAGTAACATGTGCCACAATACTGAGCATGAAAGTATAAAAACTACGTACTTTCAATAATTGAATCATCAGCTACAGTAAAACACTCTAGCAACGGGTCATCCGGCAGCAAACTACAAAATGGCTGGCAGCCCCCCCTGCATATCTCATGGTGTTACTACTCTAAAATCAACGTACCACGATAATCAGATAAATTAACTTGGCACTTGATTACAGACCTTCGGTAGAGAAAGATTACAGAATAACCTGCCTTCAAAAAGTATCTGCAGTTCCATTGTCATTTTTGAATGTCAAATGTATGTAGAGCTCAAATGTAAACAAAGCATCTAAGCATGATATTCGTGATATACTCTGTGGATGCGGCCCCTCTATGACCGGAAGCAAAGTTGTCAATATAACGAACACATTGCTTTTCCAAAGGAACAGTTGTACCACCAGAAGTCACACACACCACCCTGTTTGCTTTTCCATTTACTGAACACGGAGACACAAAAGAAAGTCTAGCATCTATATTTGAAGAAAAGAGAATTAAAAGGCTAAAAACTATGAGATGTTGATTTTTAAAGAAATAATAACTGCCTGATAATGAGGTATTGCGATCAACGAACTCCTTCAAACATATTTCAGTTTCAGCAGCATCCGTCAGCGGTGGAGCTGACTCAAAGAAGGATGTCACTTCATTTATTGCTGTTTCTGGTAACTTATCAGCATCATCAACTGCATCCATGCCAAAACCTGACAAGATGGTTTATTTAGCTAAGAAGATAAAGACTTGAGAAGCGGTCATATAACCAATCATCAGTCAGAAAAAATATCTCGATCAAAGATAACGCTGACCCTTAAGATCCATATCTGTATTCGAATTAACTGGTAAAGGAAGCAGTGGAATAGTATTTCATCGGCATGATGCAATCACTCGATAACGGGCAATGAAACACACATGCTGCACGTCAAACTTCAACTAGACCAAGGCTTTAGATCTAAGGATTGAGCTTTAACAACACTTTGATATCTTTCCTCAAAATTTAGATTATACCAATATTTTTCATTTCTCAAAAAATCCAGTAAAAGCTGAAATGCTGAATAAAAATAGAGAATCGTTGCCACACAACATATACATAGAGCATGCCTAACAAGTTCACTTCTTAATAGTCGTTTCCCTAAAAAGAATTTATCTATTCCTACATCAGAAGCGGTGCCACAACCAAGGAAGTGGTTTCAATTGAATCGTCTTATGGAAAATTGTGCTGTGCAAATAGGGTAAAAACAATTTTTTCGTGTATATATATATATATATATTAACTTTTGAATCACTTGTAGTGGCAAAGATAGTCCAAAAATTGATATGGGTCACACGTTCAAATTTTTTGAATCCCCTTGATAAAATTTCTGGCTCCGTCACTGCATCACACATCAAAATTTCCAAATGAGGAAAAAATTATGGGTGAATACTACATAAAAGCAATTTAAGAATATCAAGGAATGTGATGCAGATTGACCTGATCAAGAAAGACACTAAATTTGGAAAATTTCTGCAACACTTGCATAATCTGAATACCCAAAATCTTTGATATTCCCAAATCGTTAAGAAACAATAAAACAAAAAGAATGGATAGGGATTGAAAGACAAAGAATGGCAGGTGCACGAAGCATCCTGAATTCACGGGGTCCGGGAAGGGCCGTACACAAGGAGTGTGACCCTGATGCAAACATCCAACGCGTGATGAAGACAACTTTATCATTGCTCCAAGGACAGAGATTTGAAAAAACAGCAGAAGCAAGGCAGTGCAAAAAAAATCAACTGGTGCACAACCTCAGCTCAGTAAACCCAATATTCATACCCCAAAAAATTTGGACTGAGGAACTGGGGTTTTACCTTTCCGGAAGTTAGTTGAGAAGAATTTCTGAATTTGGAGAATTCGGCGGCAAATACAAATGGAGTTATAAATATTCGTTTATTCATTTCTTATTTCTAAATAATTAATGGCAGCTAGTTTCCGGCAACCGTTTGGTATGCTTTTGCCGGCAATATGCCTTTTGTTAGTTTAAAGAAAAGCGTGAAAATAATGTTCACCCCTACATCTGTCAAAAATATGATAATTAGATAGCATAAGCAAGCTTAAGCAATATGTTTTATACGGATTTATCAAAGATATCAATGGTTTTGATCTGCACTTTGGGAGTTCACACCAAAAATTCTAGGAAATATCGATGGCAAATAATGTTTGGCAGGGGCGGCTCGACATAATATGGGCTAGGGCGATGGGCTAGGGCGAAGACAAAAAGTGAGGCCTTTAATTTTTTTAATTATTTTTTCTCTTATAATTTATCGAAATTTAAAGAAGTTATAATCAGTTTTAATTATTGCCAATGTCTAACCAATTTGTTTAATCTCTCTTATATTATCATGTTGAACTTTATTGATTTAGCTTTGAAAAGCTTTTTCAACCGAGACAACTAATATAGAAATTATTAACGGTAATTGATTAAAACTTTTTACTTAATTGAATTTGTCAATTAGAGTATTCTTCTATTTACGCAGTTTCTATTAGCACTTTTAATTTCAAATATAAGTTTAAACAAATAATAGTATAATAAGTACTATGTTTTAAGAGTAATTCGATATTAAGGACGAATTTTAATGATTACTTGTTAAAGTAGCTTAAAAAATATCTACAAAGGCACTCAAAGAATAAAAAAAATTTATTCTAAATTAACATTGTAAGTAAATAGATTTAACTTGGGACGAATTAAACATAGGAAGCAACTAATAACTACAATTTAAGATGCGTAAAACTTTAAGCTATAATTATTTTAACCAAAAAAATCACAAATTCTATTAATAGTGTATAATTATTAAATATTATACATATTATTTGTAGATTTTGGGGCCCAAAGTATTTTGGGGGCCTAAGACCATCGCCTTAGTGGCCTTAGCCGGCCTTGATATTTGGCGTCCGTTCATGATTTTTTCCCCCTTTTGAGGTCTAAGCGAAATTTTTTTTCTTTCTAAAATACCTGCTTCTTTAAGATATCGAAACAACTATTACTCAGAGTAATTTACTCTATCCATTTCATATATGTGATTCGATTTGATTAACGGTATTAAATTTAAGAAAAAAAGTAACTTGTGAAGCACATGATCTTAAATATATCACAATATTTGGATAGCTATAAAATCTTATCATTAATGATAAAATGAGATGTTTAAGTTTAATTCATTCTTTTTAAGAATAAACTAAAGAAAATAGTATCACATAAACGGAAAAAAATATTTAACTTTTGTTGTACTTGTTCTCGAGGTGATATATATGGTAGCTCATTCAGTTTTACTTGTATATTTTATGAATTTTTCTATTATGAGAACTTTCACTAATTTTCTTAACATATTAGCAATTGTGTGTAGTTAATCCTTTTTCACATTAAAACCCGATCAAAAATCAATTACATTTTAAATTTGGGAAAATCATTACGGTATCATAGATGGAATATAAAGGCAATGAAGGTGAATGGCCTCATTCAAATTGAAATAAAAATAATGGAAGTGAATAAGAAAAATCCATCCATTACGGTGCCATAGTAAATTGCATTCAATACTCACGAAATTGGTTGGTTTATTAACACAGAATTATCTTCGTAGCTTTTTACAATGTTAAAATTAATTTCTTCCACATTCAGTTTAGGGAAAAACAAACGCGATACAGATAATCATATACTATCTTATACCCTATGGAGTAGTAGTATTTATTCTATCGTAGGACGAGATACGCTATACGATTTTCTCTCATTTCCTTTTCCTTATTTTTTTGTATCACTGTTTCAGTGAAAGAATCGGAAGAAGAATCTTTTTTTAAAGAAAAAAAAATTGGTTTCAATTCAATACTAAACAAACCCAAACGGCATTGAACACTTGTGTCTGAAATTTCTCGAATCGGTTTTTCATTTTCATAAAGACCAATACAATAGTCAATACGAAGTTACACATTATATCTTTCCTACAATGCATCTGATGGAAGAACTGTATTGGGAAAAATCGAGTTAACATTTGAAATTAATTATGTGCTGAAATATCAAAATACGTGGACCAATGGAAGAATGATAGCTGGCAAAGAGTATTCAAATAGCCGCGAGCCTTAATAGGTACGGGCAAAGGTTCAAAAAAACAAGAAGGAACGGTTACGAACGGTTACTCGGATCTCTTGATGATTTGAAGAGACATCGGAGGAATGAACCTAGTTAGCAAAAAGTACAGATACGTATTATCTGTAATTAATGAGCATCAATGATGAGGAACGCTATAGAATCTTCATGAAACAGTTACGATTGCCAATTATAACATCACATTAATGCCATTAATTGCTCATAATGGCTCTATTATGAGAGTAAAGAAACATAGTACTTAGAAATAACTATAAAAGGAGAGAAATAACATTTGTATAGGGACACAGATTATTATTGGAATATTCTGATTTACATTGCTTTATTTTGCTTACTCAGCTACTTCTCAATTCAATTCTTCTTTTTCATTACATAATTATTTTTCTACTTGATTATCAGTAACCCGAGTTCTTCTAAATAGGCTTTGACCCAAATTCCTATTTTCTGGTTACCGGGAATCTGATAATCTTTTACTTTCTAAATCGACTCTTTTGTCAAAACAATCATGTCAAATGTAAACGACAACAACCAACCAAATTTACAACTCCAAGAAAATCGGCAACATCAGGAGAATTAACAAGATGAAGGAACTCCAGTTCCCTCACAACGAAACTCTCCTCGACAATCCCGAGAGGGGACTCCTGACGGATATGAATCAAATATGAATGAGTAGTTCGAAAATAATCAAGCTATTGATGAAGCTTTGAAAAAATTAATCGCCCAATAAGTCAGTAATGCTCTTCACGCTTTTGCTAACTAGCTACCATGTGTTGTACCACCAACGCCAACTCTAAACAACAACACCGTAGAAAATCCTTGCTCAGGACTCATTAACTCAGGCAGTGGAGGAACTCCTAACGAATCTCGTGACGGAGGGTCAGGTAACCTAGTTAATTCTAATTTACAAAGTTTAGTACTAACTTTGAAGAAACAACTCAGGGAGTAGAGCGATCGCATAGAGCAGATACCTGGAGTGCCGCCTATAATCAAGGGAATAGATATGAATAAATACTCTCAACAACCTTGAAAGCCAAGTGCTGCTCCTTTATCAATTCCAAAGTGTGACGACCCGGCCGTTCGTCTTAAGAATTAATGCCCCGATCCCCTATTAACTATTTTTCCCAAGTTTAATTCTGCTAATTTGATTCGTCGGGATGTTCGATTTTGAGTTTCGGGACACTTAGTCCCTAAATGAGAGCTTAAGTGTTGGAAAAATTACCGTAGTCGGAACAGCATGAAGACGGCCTCGAAATGGAAATCTGACGGTTCCGTTAGCTCAGTTGGGTGATTTTGGGGTTAGGAGCGTGTTCGGATTATGTTTTGGAGGTCCGTAGCTAATTTAGGCTTGAAATGCCGAAAGTTGAATTTTGGAAGTTTCCGGTTCGTTAGTGAGATTTTGATCTGAGGGTCAAAATGGAATTCTGAAAGTTGCAGTAGTTTCGTTATGTCATTTGGGATGTGTGTGCAAAATTTCAAGTCATTCGGTGGTGGATTGGTTGGGTTTTCGATCGAAAACGTAATTTGGAAGATTTTTGAAAACTTAGGCTTGAATCCAATGTATTTTGGTTGATTTGATGTTGTTTGAGGTGTTTAAAAGATTTTTACGAGTTTGAATAAGGTTTTAGGATATGTTTGTGCATTTGGTTGAGGTCCCGGGGGCCTTGGGTGTGTTTCGGGTGGTTAAACGGATCATTTCAAGTTGGAAAACGTTGCAGATTTTGCTTCAAGTCTGTTGCAGACATTTTGTTCTTCGCAATCGCGTATAAGGGGCCGCGATCACGTAGGCTTATTTGGGGAAGGGGCAGAGCTGTTCTACACGATCGCGTGAGTCTGTGTGGTATAGCTTCGCGATCGCGTGGTCATTGTTGCGATCGCGTGAGTTTGAGTGTTATAGCTTCGCGATCGCGTGGAGCGTGTCGCGATTAAGGAAATCCCTAGGCAGAATTTAAAACCCAAAATCGAGGGTTTAGACCATAACTCATATTTTGGACTTGGGAGCTCGGGAGATCACGATTTTTGAAGGGATTTTCACCTGGGCGACTTGGGTAAGTGATTCTTACTCGATTTGGACTAATTTCCATGAATTTACACTTGAATCCATCCTTTAATTTCGGAATTTTGGTAGAATTTGGGGGAAAAGTTCTTAGACCAAGAGATTAGGTTTTGATTGGGTATTTGACATCGTATTGGGATAATTTTGATATGGTTAGACTCATGAGAGTGATAGGATTCTGAGAATATAAATTTTACCAGATTCCGAGATGTGGGGCCGAGGGGTATTTTGGTCATTTTACCTAATTTCGCGTATTAGCTTAGTATTTAATTGTAGAATCAGTTACTTGAGGCGTTATTTACAATATGTAATTGAATTGAATAGATTTGGGTCATTTAGAGTCGGATACTCGTGGCAAAAGTATGGTTTCGAGTTGATTTTGAGCAGGTTCGAAGTAAGTGGCTTGTCTAACCTTGTGTGGGGGACTTTTCCCTTAGGATTGGTATATTTGGTAATTGAAATGCCTTGTACGTGAGGTGACGAGTGCGTACTTGTGCAAATTGTTGAGAAATCCGTTTTTCATTAAGTATTTACTAGTATGTTCCTTTCCCTGCTTTCTTTACTTGTGCTAAATAACTTGCTGTTAATTTAGGAAAGCATGTCTAATTGATTCCATTGCCTTATTTGTTCAACCTGCTTTACCTGAACTCCGTGCAGCATGCTAGGCTATAATTATTTGATGCCTTGATATGAAATTTCCATTCTGAATATCTTCTTGCGGTTGTTTGTGTATTTACATTGGGACTACGGATGTGGGATTCCGGTAGCTCCCCTTGTCTGTTTACTTTGGAACTACGGGTTAGATTCCTAGTAGATCCCCCTGCACAGTTATATGGAACTACGAGAATGCACCCGACAGATTCCCATATTACTGGGTATTTATATTTGGGACTACGGATCAGATTCTGGTAGATCCTCGCGCATTGATAGTTGGACTACGGGATGGGATCCCGGGAGATCCTTCAGATATATACATATGATGGACTACGG